CTTTGGGAAAATGAAGTTTTGCTTGATATAAGCACGTTAAGAAATTTAGTCCTTTGAGTTTGAAGTTTACAAGTATTCTATAATAAAATTCCAGTGTTTTTAATACCTACGATATAGATGAATTTAATAACAAATCTATTAAATTTATAAATAGATTTTAAAATGGTTCAGGGGCATGTGTTTGATGAAAAGTTAAATCATTACAAGTAAGAGTATGGTATAAAAAAAAACTCAATTACATTTTTCACGATGAATAATAATTTTAACGTACTCAGGAATACACTTAGCGGTATAATAAACATAGTTTAGATGTTTCTACTATAGCATCTATTTGAACTTTTGTATCGCAAAGTTTCATCAAACTTTTTACAAGTTCACCATTAAACGAATAAAAAAAATTCTCCTCTTTTATCTTTCGTCTCTAATGTATAATTCAATTATTAATTTCAAACTAATATTAAGAATATTAATATTTAAATCTAAAAATAAAAGAATGTTTACTATTTTGCAGATATATATATATGTGTGTGTCGGTGTGTGTGTGTGTGTGTGTGTCGGTGTGCGTGTGTGTGTGCGTGTATGTATCTTTTCACAATTCAGCTTCGTAGAGATACTTACTTCTACAAACCGCACACAGTGAAAATAATCAAGGCAACGAACGAGAAAGAAATACATGCACGCACGCATGGGGGGACAAGGTACACGTACGCACATAGAGGTGCGTCCAATATTTTTCTCTCGCTCGCTCATCCCAGCAAATTGACAGGGCTTGTATGCACGTTTCATGGCAACTGGGCCAAAGTTGGACAAGCAGTCGCGACAGGAAAACCCTCTGATGAATGGAGCCAATTTACCGGACTGGCGCCCAGTCTATTTTCGGCTCCTCCTTTCATGACTCTCCTTCCTTTCTATACCATCCTCGACATTTGCCTATCTCTCTATTTTGCTTACTTTTTGGCAACTTCTCGTATCGTGGGCTTTTTTCGCGTTGCTATTGCCTCGTACGTAAATTTTATTTTTGTTCGTGATTCTTCTTACTTGACCTTTTTGCCGTTCCTACTCAAGGGTTGGCAAATTTATCGTACTCGTTCGTAGAGATCATTGGGATAAGGATGCGGATGGCTCATTGTCAAATTGGTCATGGTATTGGTATTTAATAATAATATTGAAAGACGCTCGAAAATCTTCAATATTGGTAATTTTATATCCAATGTTTGCGCATGTCTGCTCAGGAGTGTAAAATCGTGTAGCCCGATTTAGGGACATTTTGACAAATAGGGATTTTCTTTTATTCGCATATTGTTGCGATACACGTGAAAATTGAAAATTTCATTACATAAAGTTAAGATTTTTTTTTTGGATTATAACAAATAAAATGCTTGCATTATAAATATTTTCAAAGTATTGCACCTACAAAGATAGCAGAGTTTCTTCATCCATTCTTATAATAGAGGTAATATTAACAAATAAAATATATACGCAAAGCAATTACGTCGATTCAGAATTTTCCTACTTAATTTTATTGCTCGTACACGTGTTCGTAGGTGCATGCACAAATTGGAATTTTATTACGTATTAATCTTTTAATCATTCGCTTTATTTAGATGATGAAGAATTGGAAGAATGAAACTCACAGATCCATTATTCAGAGTCAGAGTTGAATATAATTGCCTAATTAAGTAAATCCCCCTATATAATCAGCAATTCTACAATTCAATTTTCAGCTCCTCGCAGAAAAAGAATTAAGACTTGCAACGAACAACGGCGGCGCGGAAGTGGAAATTTCGCACGACTTGCTTACGCGAGTTTTAAATAACCTCTTTTAAATAAGTACCTGCAAAACCAAGAGTAGTGATAAAAGGATCGAGAAAAGAAAAAAAGAAAAGAAGAAGAAGAAGAGGGGGGGGGGGGGGGGGGGGGGGGGGGAATGTATTTATACGCGCCAAGTGAAAGCATATCTGATGTACTTTGAAGAAAAGGGAATGGAAGAAAACAGCGGAGGAATGAAAGGGAGGGAAATATATTCGCAGAGGTGGAAGTCGCACGGAGATCCGAGTCGAGCTCGTTCCGCATTTCGCGGGATAATCCCTAAAACCCAATTATATTTTACTGCGACTCTAACTCCGACTTCTATACGATACGAAAAGTGCGAGGGAGAAGGGAAAGGAAGCGAACGAGGAGCGTTTAGGCGGTCCGATGAAACGCGGATTAGCCGTTATAACTGGAAATTGCTGTCCTCTCGAAATTTCCGCAAAACATCATTTTTCATCTCCTCCTTCGGCCTCCCGTGAAATAAAGAATTAAATGGCTTTTCCCGCGCCATTTTTCTCCGCCTCGAAGCTATATGAGCGCGCGACTTTCGTAATGAAATTTACTTTGCTTTTATTTTTCCCTACCCTCCTCATTGTGTCGCGCTTCAGATATTTTGTTCATTAGCTTGTTAGTTTCGTGCTATGGTCGCCTCACTCGCAAGTCATTTTCTATTTTGCTTATTTACTTATCACGATAATTATTTGAGAAACAGTCGCTTCGATAAAGAGTTTCTCCATACGAGAACTCTAGTCGCTCTGAGTACACAAATTAACGCTAATTTTATGTATTTAATCATTTTATTAAACTAAATTTTTTTTTTAAATAATCGATATTAGTTTGATTCAAAGATTATTCGAGGATAAAGCTGTGACCCGTTAAATGAAAATTGACTAAATTTTCTCATGTCACCGTTAAATATTTCCTTCAAGTTAAATAACGCTTCAACAAACAGATATTATATTTTATGCTTCTATTGATTTGAAGAAATTGTCGACCTAAATTCGTACATAAATTATTATTTCCATGTTATGTGGTAAAATCTTTTTTGCCATATTATGTGGTAAAACAAAGGAACGGATACTTTCAAAATTAAAAAGTTTTTTTTTTTGTTTAATTTTTGTGCATATTTCTTCTTTCATTTTTTATTTATTTATTTATTTATTTATTTTTTATTTTTTTTTTTATTTTTTTTTTTTGTACGCACTCTTTAAAATTTCCATTTACAAAAAATATACGTTAACATAAAAATGAATGTATTTTTATTATCATTTCAAGCTGTAATTTATTTCAAATTTTTAAACGATCCATATTTTTTCTCACATAAAATATGTAACTTTTCATACACTTTAATTATAAGAGCGAGTTTTGCAATTTTCCATTTTGAATACATTTTATGATATTGCCGAATTATTAAAGTTTATAGTTCTATATATTATTCAAAATATTTTATGAAAGTGGAAAATGTGATACGGTACTGGGCTCGTTATATGAAATTATAAGACACGATTAAAGAAGAGAGAGTCTTGTTTTATAATTCGTTCCAATAAAAAAGACAAGTAGTCATGTGTATTTTAATAGGTGATTCAAAACAAAAAAATTTTAATACTTATACATAATATTTTATGGATAATATTTAATTGGTTGATAGTTCATATTCCTCATAGAATGAAAGATAGTATTTTTAGTATGAAACCAAAACAATTTGCCACGTAGTAGACCAAATAAATAAAATCTGATATTAATAAGAAATTTTATAGAATATTGTGATACCTTTTATTATCCTTCGTTGAGTTCTCTTTTCTTATCGAATAATTTTTTTTTTTTTATTAGAGTATTAGTAGCATGTGAAGATTGTTTTTATTATTATTATTATTTTTTACGAATGCTTTAATTTATTTATTTTCAGACCACCCATTTTATAATTATGTAAAAAAAAACATCTCCATCCAGTCCAAAACTAATCTATCCTTTTGAGATTTACAACTTTTATCGCAAATTAAATTTTTATTTCAAATTCACTATTACCAGCGTAGCTCTTATATTCTCATGACTTATATCCATTGACAAATTCATCTCGAATAGTTGGATAAAGAATGAGCAGAGAGTAGTCTTAAGTGAATCCCTCGGTCTTTATAGAAAAGTATTGGAGGATGTAGTTAAGATGCAGAAGGAAGTAGGTCAGGGATTCCTTGCTCGATGTCCACTAGGCATTCCCAAATGATAGCTTTGTAGGTTGAGTCGGTTATTAAAAAATTCCGCCCCTAAGTGGTCTGTATGTGCAAAAAAAAAAAAAAAAAAAAAGAAAAAGAAAAAGAAAAAGAAAGAGTTGTATATCTCTCGCATATTTTATATGCTCTCGATTGTTATTATCAAATTATATTATCGTAGCTAATATACTTGTGTTGTAAAATCAGGTGTTAAGTTGTTGTAATTATCGAGGATCGATCGTTTGAAATTTAATTGTTCAAGTGCTTGCGCTACAGTCGAATAAATAAAATTTTTATAAATTTTCATACACTAGATTTTTATAATTTTTATACATAGGTTTCTTATATTCAACAGGATTAATCTCATAAATCAATAGTTCGTCAATTGGCAAAAATTATTCAAAAAAATACCAATTTTATATTGAATGGAACTTTTAATAGCTCACAATTTAAAAAATAATATACCATTACAGAGTATTAATTATCACGTATTGGAATTAATTTATCATGATAATTTCTCTATAATTTCACATTTAAAGATGAATGATGATTAAAATCAATTAGTTAAATTATGTTTCAACATTAACGTTAAATTAAATGTGTAAAGATTAAATTATGTTATAAATATAGGAGATTTTTTTTTGTTTACACGATTTTAGAGAATTTAATATAAGAAATTATTCAAGGCAAATGATTTAGCATCTTAGATGAAATACAGTCGAGGCAAAGATATTGAAATTAAACTAGAAAAACTCACTCACAGGTTATTTTATATTTTACAATTTATTGAAACTTATGTTTATAGATGATAAAATTTATCGAATTACTATGTGATTTTGTTATCGTAAAAGCTGCGTGTTCGATTGCCTCGTGATAAAAAAGACAGTTAAAAACGAAAGAAATGTGGATCGAAGGACATAAGCAGTCAGCGTTCGTTAATTACACAGGATACCATTTTTTCAGTCGATTATTTTCTCGCAGGATACGTAGCGACCGCCAACCACAACGAACCTGGAATGCAATTGAACTGTCGGAATTAAGAAAAATCGCGCACGAGAGAGACAGAGGACGGCTCACCGGCAATTCCGCATTCGATCGTTCGATAAGCACACAGACGTTTTCCTTCTTTTCACGAAGAGCGATTCACCAGAGGACGCAAGCTACATGACGAGAGTGAAAGAGAGAAATAAAAATAGTGACTGAAGGATAGAGGATTAGGATAGGAGAATGAGAGAAAAAGAAGGAGTATAAGAGAGCAAGATCGTAAGATAGATGAATTATCATGAAAAGAAAAGGAAATAGAATGTTCTGTAATTTTTCATTGTAAAATGGTTTTTATTTATTAAACGAGTATTGTTGTTGTAATCCTATGGTCTAACTAATTAATAAAAGATTAATAATTTTTTATAATAATCATGTGTTTGAGACTAATGCGAGTAAAAATAGTGTCTCATAATTAATAAAGATCGCAGAATGTTTAACCATGTTTAGAGCTTTTCAAAAGATATCAGTATATACAGTTTTTAAGTATATGAAATATGATAAAAACTATACATACATATATATATATATATATATATATATATATATATATATATATATGAATAAATAGTAATATAGAAACAGATTCTAATGAAAGTCAAACTGAGCTCTCCAGAATTAATTATTGTTTTGTCGAAATAAAACATTATATTAAAAACTCTTCCACTCTGTATGTAAGTTTACAATAAGTAAGTCTTTTATGCATTAAAATTTATCATGTAATTAATGTTCTATCACTGTGCTAACTTAATAATTTTTACCAACCAATAAGAATTTACAACTCTTTCTCATTTTTCATTTCTTTTTGTAATAAATCTTTCCTTCTACGTACAACCTGTTGCTTATTTGTAACAGGTAGTATAATCTAAAAATAAATATCATATGCAAGAAAAGCGGTTTAATTGAGAGTAGATTACTTTTTTAAATTGTAAGCAAATTAAAAAATGCAACTTTATGCGTGCAAAAATTACGAATAAATGTCGATTATTGACAAAATGCCGCTTCGATGTATGTAAATACAATAGAGCTAAATCGTGAGTATTGTTTATTATTGCTTACGACAACAAATCGTAAATTTCTTCATTATCCATTTATATAATTTATTAAAATATTATTAATTTAATAATAAGGAGTGCTTGCAATTGCATGATTTTTAAATCATAATAAATATTATTGAATAAAAAATTTACGTATAATTTATTTCAGCTGCCGCCATGTCGTTAACGATTTTTTCTCTCAAATATATTAACAGATAAATTGAAAACTAATTTCCGACTAAACGCTTATACGACAATGTGCGCGCGCATAAGCTTCCGTGAAGTTTTCAACATTCCAAATTACAAACGCTTCTTCTCCCACTAAAAGCCATAATTTTCATTGTCTTTAATCCTAAATAATTGGTAGATATAAGAAGATTGGTAGCTGAAGAAAATGTTGTAGTATTAAGTAGAAATGAAGACGGCTAGATCAATACAATATGCAAAAGACTTATATCCAGGAAATGACGCAGAAGTAGTGCGAGCGACGTTGATAGAGAGGACGGCTGGAGAATGCACGATAGGAGAAGGAAAAAACGGAGACGTTGAAAAAAAGGAATGAAAGACAGGAGGAACCCGAGTTCGTGCATGGATCGATCGATTCGCGGAAGCGCGCGAAATTTGAATTACAAATATTTCGATTCGTACGCGGCGGCAACGCCGAAAGAAAGACGGAAATGACTGGGCGCTTCCTATGTAACCCGTGACAGCTTGACACGCATTATTTTTACAACCCGATAAAACAACGATGCCGGAGGCAAACGCGCAAATCGGAAAGGGAGTCGCAATTACCGACGGAGTGACGGCGATAACGTCACCTCCCACACATGTACACTTGTAAATTATTTGAGTGCGTGTATGCAATGCCAAGTAACGTGCACCGAATGACAAAACCAAAATTCTAATTGTCTTAGCATTTTAATAGCTTTTCACTGCACTAATTTGCGATGAAGCGATAACCATTTCATTATCTTTTTATAGTTAATGATATTTTTCTTATAATGCTTATACCTCGTTTTCATTCGCATATTTGTATTTTTCTTCGATTGAAATATTGCCATTAAATATGAAAATATTTGGCTTTTATGTTGTAGTGGAATTAATGTTCAAGTTATTACTTCAACGTCTTTTCAGTAATATCGTTTCAAAGGAATTATTCGTATTTATATCTAATCATGTTGTATGACTCCTTAGTGTCACTGTATCTTAAATAATGGAAATCCTAGGCTCTCGTTCATTATTTTGATACGCAATTTTTCCTCTAAATATACAAACAATTTGCATTTACCTTGCTTTTCCTTTCGAATAAAACACAATAAATGTACAATTAATAAAATTAATAAGGTTCGATTCAATAAATTCAATATATAATTAATAATATTTAATTTATTCGATGCTTTCTTCTATCAAATAAAAAAAAAAAGTAGTATCAAATTGTTGTTTATATATTATAAACACTTTTTCATTAAAAACTTGCTTCGATTAATAAATCAAGTAAAAATTAAACACCCGCAGCCTCAAATGCTTCTTGCGTATATTATTTTAATTGGTGCCAATAATACATTTGGAAATAACTATTAAAATGTGCAGAAAAAAAAGTAGGAGCAAAGGGATGGTATCATTATAGTTTTGATAAGGTTAAATGATTGGATGAGTACAATAATATCTGTAGCCACTATTTAGCTCAACGTCAAGTTGTTGTTTTTTCTTTCTGAGCTTCGTGTAATCGTGTGATTTCGCGTGCTCTTTTAGTATACGTCATGCTGAGATTTCCTTCCGATTCCGCTTTTTTATTTCTCCTTTATTCAGTTAAACGTACGCGCAAAATTAATAGGCAGATGCCATGTTTCACATTAGTTAAGACAGGCATGCAAAATACCAATGGCTAAATCCTTGTCTATCTTATTTCGATTCCATTCCATTCCATATAATATATGTGTAATATCGCGTGTAAAATAAAAATATTATTCGACCTTACATCGTTCGTTCTATTATTTAAATTTATTCTATAAATGAGGTTTACTATTTCACTAACTAATATAATAACCAAATTTAAATATAAATAATTAGCTTGGCTGTATGTGCGCAGATATAATTCTGCTGTAGCGATGGAAATAAGCGTGAAAATATAAACTGATGCTCAAGTATTTTAATCGTTCAATTAGATGTGCAATGAAAAATGTCCACACACACACACTGACAAAGTAACAGAGCCCAATAGTCAATTAAAAGTTTTTTAAAATAGTCAGTCAAGTTATTTTACAACAGCTTGTCATTTTTAAACATTAATCTGTATTCGGACTGAATTAGGTTTTAATGATAAACTAAATACGGAATTTATATGCCCCCGTAAAAAATATTTTTAACATTGCGAAAACTGATGTAACATCGTTACAAATGATGCCAGGAAAATGATAGTAAAGATACCGATCGGCAGTAAAGATTCGAATAGGCAAGGAATTAATTTGGAGCTTTGGCAACTCGAGAGGTACATCGGGGATTCGAAGCGTCGGAAACGTTGGCTCCACTGAGAGTTGCGTCATTTTGATAACGAAACGACGGGGGGAGTAATTGCGCAATTGCTGAAGAAGTGGCGTGGAGGCGGGGCGGGGGGAGGGGCTGCACCAGATCTTCCTTCTTACTTTTTCCTATATTATGATGGGAGAGAAATAAAAAAGTAAGTCCCGTGCACTATCTCGACCTTTTGGTTTCCCTTCCCTTAAGGGAAAACGAGAGTAAGTTAAATAACAAATGAATAGAGAAACGGAGAAATAGATCGTGAAACGTAGAAGGAGGCGGAAGGATAGGAAAAATAAGATTGCACGGAGTTCGAAATCGTTGTATACTATTATGTATTTTTCATTAAACTAAAATCAAATAATTATAAATATAATCTTTATAAAATTATTTGTTTACATTATTACATAAGCCATATTGAAATATATGACGGAATACACTTTAGTATGTGATATTGTAATTTCCCATATTAATTAAAGTTAACTTACACTGTAAACAGTTTTTCGTTCATATGATTTCGTTCATGAAATATATCAAGTTTTAATAACTTTAATAATCAATTTTATTAGTGTTTAATATTTGTTTAAGTTTATACCCAATTTTATTTGATAAAGAAAAAAAAAAAAAAAAAATTGAAATTGCAGCAACGCAAAAGTCACTGACAAATAGAAGAAAAATAATAAAATATAACTGACAATAGTACCTTTACCGCAATCAAAGTAGCTCATTATTTTAGATATAAGTTTCTGAATTACTATAACTTGGTTCTCTAATGAGAACTTTACGGACATAAAGTCGCTCATTCTAGTATAAGTTATTACAAGTTATGTGGAACTTATAGATTATTGCCTTCAAGTGAAAGTTGAAAACTTAATAAAATTTTATTTTAAAAAACACGTAGAATTACTAACCAATTGCAATGATAAGAATATCATTATGGGCTTTGTTGTAGTTGAGATTTAAAACAGTAGATGTGTGTATATTTGTTGGTACAATATTTTTAACATTCTTCGCAAAATGAACGAGATTTCTTGCATATGAAATTAAGAAGAGAAACTTTAGCAATTAATTAAAGAATTAGATTTTATTATAATAAAATGTTAAAATAAAACTCTACAATTATCAAAAATTTCATTGCAAATTTTACAAGTCTCGATGGCCCATCATAACTTTAATAATTATAAGATAAACGAAAGAAAAAGTGTAAGCAAGATATAATAAGCGCATAGAAGAGAAAATATGTACGCGTAAAATGAGATAAGCCAGTAAAAAGATAGATAACGAAAGACAGAGAGGTATAGGAGTGAGAGAGAATAAAAGGGTGTATGCGTGTACGCGCGCGCGCGCGTGTGTGTGCGCGGGTGCGTTTATGTTTGTGTGATGTGCGCGCGCTCGCGCGTGTGTGTGTAAGATTGTGAGAAAGCGCCGACTTCGCGGTATTGATCCTGAAGGGGTTC